TATATGGATGAAAGTTAGTTAGGTTGAAGGGAGAACTCAAAGCTAATTAACTTGAGCTTTGTAAGTGTTCCCTCTCTTTATACTGATATAGTATATGGATGAAAGTTAGTTAGGTTGAAGGGAGAACTCAAAGCTAATTAACTTGAGCTTTGTAAGTGTTCCCTCTCTTTATACTGATATAGCTCTCCTTTGTTCATGAGAAGAGAATGACTACTACTACTACTATTACTACAAGTTCTTCTTCTTCTTCTTCTTCTTCTTCAAGAGTTGGGATCATGGAGGAGGTCTTGGTAGTGTCCGGGCTCATCGCCGTGCAAATAATCTTCGCAATTCATGCGCTTTTTTTGAATCAGTTCTTGGCCCTCGGTGTTAACTCTCTCTCCATCGTCATCTTTGGGGGCTTGGCTAGTGCTTTGTTCCTCCTCCCCTTTGCAGTGGTTTTTGAAAAGTAAGTGTAGATGAAGGAAGTACCCCACCCTAAAATATTTTTTTTGGTGAATTTATGGAAAATTTTTATGCGTACAGGAAGAAATGGCCGGGTGAATTAAGACCCTTGGTGACCGTTCAGATGTTGTTGACTGCTATTACTGGGTATGAATTCTTTGATGGCACTTGCAAAGAAATGAATTTTTTTTTGCTAATAAAAATTCAAAGAATGATGGTAAGTTAATTTTACTTGGTTTTATTTTATTTTGTTTTTTCGGGGAAAAAATTGGAGCCTTTTGAAGTTTTACTTTGATCAAATTAATTGATGAATGAAATAGAAAATCATATTCTGTTTTTTATTATTTTTATAAGTTCGTGCTTAATTTGTTTCAAATTTTGTGCAACATCTCTAAGTTAATAGGGGTTTTGTTTAATGGCCTAGCTAGAGAACTTTCAGCTTTATTCTTACACAATACTTCACAACAGGGTTAATTAGCTCTCGCTTACCAATAATCAAGATGGAGTATCGGCTAAGCAACCCAATTAAAGACTTAATTAAGGGGAAACTATCTACAAAAAGTGCTACTTGGTGGGTTATTGAGTACCACATGCAACACGATGACATATAGTTGTCTAAAAAATTTATTCCTAGTCATATCTTTGTTTAATTAAGTTCGTTATTAATTAGAGGGTTTTGTTTCGAGATGTGTAACATTCTTGATTGTATGCAGCCTCATCTTGCGTTTTTATAACATGCTATGTATTTTCATGACTTGAACCCCATGAGCTCGAGGTCACATGTGGACAACTCTTACGTTGCCTCAAGAATCCCTTCTCTCATGGAGTACCATAAAGTAATAAATAGATAAATAAAGAAAAGAAAATTGTAGAAAAAGAGAGAGAAGAATTATCCATCTTTTTCCGGTGACGAGAGGGTATCCAAACAACTTCAAGCGCCAGCCTGATTCTTCAGTTTCTTGACGTTCTCTTTCGTTACACACCAATTTATTTCGTAAACTCTTCAAGTTGAAAGGCCAACGTACTGAAGTTGAAAGGTGGTTGGAGTTAGTACCCATCGAACGCATGCTGAGTCACAGCTGACGAAGTTCATCAATAATTCATCAAAATTCAAGCTTGTGTCACATCCTCCTGCATGTATTTTCGATAATGAAGTAGTTGAAGAAAGTACGGGAGTAGTGCCTTTTGCATTGATGCATACCTCAAATATTTCTTAAAATAAATATTACATTAAACTCTAGCAAAATCGATAATGATTGATTATACACGTACTTATAAGATAATAGCCGATAAGCAAGAGAGAGAGAAAGAGAGTCACTTAAACGAGTTTTCTCTTTGGTGCATTATATAACTACATCCTTAATTTTCAACTCTTCAATCTATTGAATAATTGCTCACATGTGTATGATCCATTACTTTGTTATCTAAGTTGTTACCGTGAAAAGTCCTACCTGATAATGTTATAGGCAATTTGCTCATTCTATTACGTTACAAACGATTCATTAGTACAAATACATATGCTCATTTTTCCTAATTAAATAGACATATTCACAATTCTCTTCGCTTAATTATATATGCACATAATTCGTTTGTTTTTTGTATAGGGTTGCATTCCAAGTTCTAACGTTGCGAGGTCTGAAGATGACTTCTCCGGCGGTGGCCTCAGCAATGCCTAACCTTGCCCCTGCCATCATCTTCATCATCGCAGCTTGTGTTAGGTAAGACTCCTTTCCAACCATTTAAAATGAAAATTGAAATTCTCAATCACATCTGTCAAATATAATAATCCATCTTTTAAATTGAGTTACTTACAGATAAAATCCTTGTATTTTAGGAGATGAATTAGTTAGCCATTGTCTTCTAATTTGTTTATCACACTTGAGACCTTGTGATGTCAAAAACAGAGTCATCTCTGTTATCGTATTTGCACTGTTTCTACATGTATAAGAGAATAGTGTCTCTATGGAGTATACTGAAATATCAAGAGATCAGTCTGCAACAGGAGATTTAAGTACTAATAAAGAGCTTAGCAGAAAAAAGTGGCTGGTCTCCAATAATGCAAGGGGTGTATCTGCAATTAATTATGCATATGAATAATATCGGTTCACAACCCAAGAACTTAAGATCTTTACTTGTGACCTTATAGTTGAATTTGTGATGAAAGGTTTGAGAGATTCTCAATATGGTGCAAGTATAGTAGAGCCAAAGTATTCGGAACTATATTATGCTTGGGTGGTGCCATAGCGATGAGCTTCATGATGAGCCCTCCCTCTTCATCTAATTCGACAATAAATCAAGTCTCATCTCCATTAAACAAGATCTCTAGTACTGGGTCTATTTCAAAGGACTGGCTCTTTGGTTGCTTCTATATGTTCATCGCTGTCATCTTCCTATCATGCACAACGGTATTACAGGTAAATACCCAAATCTAAGCCAAAACTTAGATGTTAATTCTTGATTATTTTCAAATATTTTCTCATGTTAATATACATATCGCAGGCTGCGACTATGATTAATTTCCCAGCTCCTCTCACTTTATGTGCTGTGACTACCTTGATGACTTCGATCATAACTGCTGTTATGCAATTTATTGTGGAGGGAAATCTCAATTTTGGCTCCTCGAACCTTAGTCCTCAGAGCATTATCGGCATCATCACATTGGTAGGATTTATGAGGGAGGAAAACAGTGACATATATGACTATGTATATATGTATGTATTGTATAAGATCTTGATTTAACATCTATTGAATTTTTTTTTTTCACCGTTCAGGGAGCAGTTCTGACCGGTTCTTGTGTTGGATTTCAAGCTTGGTGCGTTAAGAAGAAGGGACCCGTCACTGTGTCTATTTTTAATCCAGTTCAGACTGTTTGCTCTGCGATACTATCTGCTCTAGTTTTGGGACAAGTGATCAGTCTTGAAAGGTAAATAGGAGAGAATTCTTTAAAAAAAATCTAAGGGATCGAGCTGAACATAATTTTTCAAAAAAAATAAATAAAAAAAGAACACAGTTGTTAGATGCTAATTAAAGAGCACTACAACTACTCATGGTTTGCACAAAATCATCTGAATACTCAGCTGAGGTACTCATGGCATTATCACATGTTAGCTTATGATTTATACATTCTTGGTGATTTTTGTGCAGTTTAGGAGGAATGCTCTTCATGTTTATGGGACTCTACGTTGTTCTATGGGCTAAGAAGAAAGAAGGCCGTGATCCTCAAAATGCCGATGATAATGAGACAATTCATGACATTGAGAAGCCCCTCTTAAGTTAAACTTTTGCCCTCTTTTTTGTATATAACGTGTTATGAATATCTAGGGAATGCGGGGATCATGTAACACCGTATAATCAATGGGCGCAGAAAAGTTATAGATGATGATGGAACTTGTACATGTATATATATACCCCCTTCATTCTCTCTCTAACAAGAGATGATGGAACTTGTACATATATATATTCCCCTTCTCTCTCTAACAAGAGACTTGTGAACTCTTCAGACTATTTAGTTCTTTAGATTAATGCTGTTTCTATTCTTCATTTCAAGGGAAAACATCTAATGATTCATGTCTATATATAGCATTAATGATTCACCAGGGAGACCAATGCACTAATCCTGAAGCCCCCTTGTATTGTGATCCATGATGCACCATTAATGTTTTATGAATGAATATGAAGGGTGTTGCCACATGAACCCAAATAAGAGACCCAAGGCATGAGACAAGTGAGGTGTCACCATCCGGTTGCATGATGCACTGTTTATAAACAGTGCATCATGCAACCGGATGGTGACACCTCACATGTCCCATGCCTTGGATCCCTTATTTGGGCCCCTGATGCATTAATATGGAATATGAATCACTAGATACTTCCTGATATTTCAAAACTATGCAACCCTTTCCCTCATATATTTGTGCGCAAACGTTTATAAGAAAACCCACCTCCTACATAAATAAGCTAAAAGGAGACAAAATATATTTGTTTCTTCTTTATTTTTCTTTCGTAAACAAACGTTAGCCTTATTTTGGATTTTGAATCTTCCATCATGCAACCCTATCATATATAGGATCAGAACACAAATGCTACTTTATTTTTTATTATTCAATCAAATTAAAAGAGAATTAAGAATATGTACTTCCAAACTGTTGCTTGACCATATCCATGCTATATATATGTATATATGTTTCGTATATGTTTTTATATCCTATCTAATATAAATATTTAAAATCAATAACCATACATATTATCAAATGCAACAGAGACATTTTGGGTAAGATACCAGTAATCGATCCAAATTGCTTCTTCACGCAAAGAAAGATTCAATTTCACTGTTACATAATTCCTTTTCTTTTTCTGAACAAAGATGATAATACCCCGCGAATCCGAGGGCTTCATAGCTCACTGATTGAGGCCGATAAAGTTATAAAGCCCATAAACTTGTGAGTGATAAACTTGTGAGTGTATGTATTTTTGCCACCAAAAGGCCCATACGGTAATCATATATAAAACAGTATTACTACACTTATAAAGTAACCATATACAGAGATGCTGGTTACTCGAATTTAGTTGATAATTCAGATTATTTGTTGGCAATTGCTACTTTAAATTCTGCAAAACTTTTTCTCAGCGCCCTTTGGACAAATTATCGATGATATCTTGGAATTTGCTCAAGGTTTTGTAAATTGCAGCTTTGTTTATACGAGGAGAATGTTAGAATTGGGGGTGAAGCCCAAACCTGCAGGCGAGAATAAGTCGGCGACTTCTGGCGAGCTCCTCAAGCGAGATGAGTTTCGCAGGCTAGGTCGACAACGGCTGCAGGTGGAGCTCTCGAGCAGGTGAAGGTCTGGCGAGGAGCTCCCTCTGGCGAGCTTGCAATCCAGTCGACGTGGCGCAAACGAGCTCGAGCAGGCGAGCTCGTGGCAGGCGATGTCAACTCGTGCATGCGAGATAGGCGATGTCGACTCGTGCAGGCGAGATTTGGCGTTTGGTTCCTTAACACAGCTTTTGGCACAACAATTTGGTATCAGAGCCAGGTTTCGATCCTAGGACCAAACCAAACGCCAAATCCAAGAGAGTCAAACGAACTAAATATCAATACACAAACAAAATACCAATTTTAACGTGGTTCGGCAAATTGCCTACGTCCATGGGGCAAGAAAGGGGATGGAGTTTTCACTAATAGAGAAGAAGAGTACAAACTGAGATTACAAATCACTCGAAGGAACAAACTAATCTCACCAACAAGCTCTTAATCTCTCCAAACAAAACCCTAAACAAATAGCTCAGAAAATACCGCTTTTTTGTGCTCCAAATATCCCCAATTTGCTTCTCTTAAATTCTCTCTTCCAATTGTTCCATATATATATAAATCCAAAAATCATAAACATACTAGGAATTCTAAACCAAAAGCCAAATCAAATTAGGAATCCTAATAACCTATTACCAAAATAGATTAGGAATCCTAATAACCTCATGTTACCAAAATAGATTAAGAATCCTAATAGATTAGGAATACTGCTATCTAACAATTCTCCACCTCGGCGAAGTTTTCCCAAAACTTAGCCGACACCGACCAAACCAAATGCCTCACTTGTTGCGTCCAGTACGAAGTGAAACGATCCACAACAATGGACTCAATCCACAACAAGTCGAGACCCAAACGGGAGTGCGAACACTCACCCAAATGTCGGTATCTACTCACCAAATCGGCTGCATCAAAACTGACTGCGTACGTATCCTCTTGCCCGAGGAATCAAGCCTTCACGTAGTTCACCCAAATGGCCTCCAAAGGCCCTCAAACAAATAGAAAAGTCTGCAACTCTTCCCTAATATCGCTAACGGATCTGCAACTGATAGCGGGCCCAAACTGATACAAACCAAACACCTCCATCTGAGATGAACCAATGGACGTATCCAAATCATGTCCACCAGCTGCAACCGAATCCAAAACCAATCCATCATCTGCATCCGAAATCAAATGATCCCCAACCTGTGTCACCTCAGCTGGAATCCCAAATGACGCAGTATGATCTGGAGTATGTGGAATAAGTTCCACCCAACGTGAAGTAGCATCACCCTCCACCTGCTGCGATATCCAAACGACCTGATCAACACTCTCCACCTGCCGAGAGTCAAAAGTGACATACCTGCTCAGAACAAAATCAGAAGCTCCCAAACGATAATCAAATGAGCCTCCGAATCCCAAACGCGCAATCGGATCAAATCTCACATCCTCGATGTGACCAAATGCTGGGTAACCAAATATCCGACGCCGACCAAAATCTGAAGTAGCTCCAACAAATCCAATAACTCCTAATGCAGCAGTCGGCGACCTATGACTAAGATGACCCAAATATGTCGAAGCTCCAGAACCAATGCTCGATAACCAACGCCGATCCTCCTCCAGAAAGGAACGACCCATCGAAACTGTCACCTCATCTCGTCTCCCCAAAGTCTCCACACCAATGAAGTGTCTCCTATAGCCGTGAGCTCGGCACAAATGCAAGAAATGACCCCTACCAAAGCTAGAACAACGAGTTACCTTTCTGCCAATACACTTCTTCCAATTGTTATTGACTTCTAGGACTTTACACCAATGGGAACTGGTCGCGACCTAATAATGCCTAGAACAATCACCAACTGCGGAAACTACAAAACGATTACCTCCCAATGATGCCTCTTTGGAAGGCCTCCAAATGCCTAACTGAACACCTCCTAAAAGACCCCTCGCTCGATGGATAGGAGTGCCAAACTCCATCTCAGTCTTGCTCATCCCAATGTGCTCAAAGGACTTCCATCTGCAGGTCAAAGCACTCCTCAACAACCTATGCACGGCATCACCAATCAAATACCCCAGCACCAAACAACGCCACAATCTAGCCAAATCCAATGAAGTCGTCAGAGCTCTATCAATCACCGTGCTCCCAAGCAAATAGTATAAGTTACTCTTTCTGATGCCCTTCATCACAATCATGGACCCAAATGTAACCTTCAAGCGTGCATCTGCCAAGGTCACCCTATAGCCTGCTGCCTCCAAAGCTCCAAGTGAAATGATGTTCTTCTTCAGCTGAAGAACGAACCTCACTCTAACCAACTCCCGAATCACCCTGTCACTCATCCTGATCTGAACGGTACCGATACCACCAATAGAACATTTGTGATCATTCCCCATGAGCACGAAATCCCCTCTTTCCAACTCCTGAAAGCTGGAGAACCAATCCCTCCTAGGACAAATATGGTATGTAGCGCCCGAATCCAACATCCACTCTGTAGAGTAGGCAATACAAACTGACGGCAGTGCAGATAATGAGTAGCCTGAAGAATCCGAATCTGAATTATTGCCACTAGTCTTGACAATATTCACCTCTGAAGCTTGTACAGCTTTCCCCTTATTCTTCCCGGTTTGATGATTCAACTTTGGGCATTCAGCTTTCCAATGTACATCTTCTTTACAAAAAGCACACTGATTCCTACGAATTCTAAGATGTGCTCCTCTAGAATGTGACCTTCTACCTCGGTTTGAATTATTTGCTCTTGCAACTAATGCCCCCGCTACCAGCTCAATAGAAGTCTCATTGTCCTTCTTCCTGAGTTGGTAATTCACTAATGCAGCGGTGACCTCACTATATGAAAAAGATGCCTTCCCATTAATAAGAGTAAGGACAAACGTCTCATATTCCTCGTCGGACAAGGAACTCAATAATAACAACGTCTTGTCCTCATCTTCAATAATGACATCTACATTCGCCAAATCTGCAAGAAGCTTCGTGTAGTGGTTCATGTGATCACTAATGGATGTCCCCTTCTTTAATTGAAAGTGATAAAGCCTCCTCTTCAACAAGCGGTTTTCAACGCTCTTCGTCAAATACTTGCTCTCTAGGACCTCACAAATCTTCTTCGCAGAAGTCTCATTCATCACATCATATTTTAGATCTTGAGTGAGACAAGACCTAATCATACCACACGCTGTCCGATTCATCTTTTTCCAAACCTTCTCATCAATGTCGTCCAGTTTCCCGTCTAACTCCAACGTATCTTCTAAATTCTGCGCATTGAGCGCATCCAAGACTTCGCATCGCCAAAATCCAAAATTGTTAGTGCCATTGAACTTCTCCACATCAATCTTCATCGAGTGGATACTCAAACTTTGGATAGTCTTCACACCTGAAGAACTACCCTCAACTCCCTCTTTCTTGGCCATAATCCTCAACACACCAACAATCAATCCGGAAACAAACGAAGAATAGATCCAATACTGAGAAAAGAAAGAAGCTTTACCGAAAAGATCTCACCTTTCTCACCAACTGAAACCCTAAACGAGTTTCCCAAATCGATCTACTCCTCCAAATAGCCCAAGCGTAGCCCGCGCTCTGATACCAAATTGTTGTGCCAAAAGCTGTGTCGAGGAACCAAACCAAACGCCAATCCAAGAGAGCCAAACGAACTAAATATCAATGCACAAACAAAACTCCAATTTTAACGTAGTTCGGCAAGTTGCCTACGTCCATGGGGCAAGAAAGGGGATGGGGTTTTCACTAATAGAGAAGAAGAGTACAAACTGAGATTACAAATCACTCGAAGGAACAAACTAATCTCACCAACAAGCTCTTAATCTCTCCAAACAAAACCCTAAACAAATAGCTCAGAAAATACCTCTTTTCTGTGCTCCAAATATCCCCAATTTGCTTCTCTTAAATTCTCTCTTCCAATTGCTCTATATATATAGAAATCCTAAAATCATAAACATACTAGGAATTCTAAACCAAAAGCCAAATCAAATTAGGAATCCTAATAACCTATTACCAAAATAGATTAGGAATCCTAATAACCTCATGTTACCAAAATAGATTAAGAATCCTAATAGATTAGGAATATTGCTATCCAACATTTTATATTACTTTTTCGTTTTCCCCCCATGTAATTAATAGCGAATAATTTAGCTAATACACCTCAATTTTTAGAACATGCATACAAGCTTAGTGTATATATTTGATTGGATTTTCCTCTTTTTCTTCTTTGTTTATCCATATAAGAGTTTTTATAATTTATTCAACCATTTATTTATTTACTTTCACATGATGGAGTCAAATTTTGTAACGGCCGGATCCAGATTGCGTCTAATGGTAGCACCTAGAGATGAGATGATATTCCTAGCATATAATTGAACTCAATTTGGATCATCTTCTCCCAAACTCTTCTCTTTAATTTTCTGCCGAGCTCACAACCACCAAATTATCTCTCTAATTAATTCCCGTGCAATTAATATTGAGGCCGGTTACAAACTAGTTGCCTTTAGGGAATAACACTTCACATATTTGTAAGTGATGGACGCCAACCGAAGCACATGCCTTTAGGGAATAACACTTCACATATATGTAAGTGATGGACGCCAACCGAAGCACATGCCTTTAGGGAATAACACTTCACATATTTGTAAGTGATGGACGCCAACCGAAGCACATGCCTTGTACATGTGTATCTGATGTATAATTTCTTTTTGAAAAAGTGTCCCCCCATACATCGAATACATCTCATATCTGAAAACTAATATCTAGATTTAAGTTATGTAGAACTGATCAGAAGAGAATCAAAATTGATGGCTGAAATGAAGAACTGCTTGGGTAGCACAATATAATCCCCATCAAGTGGAAGGAAAAAATTTCAACAAAATGGCTATAAAGCTACAATGCTTGATAGTTCCAAATGTTTTAAGAAACGTCAAATAATTGCCAGCAAATAAACTTATTGGCACTGATACACATAATTGCATGCTATATTGGACGGGTATGGGTCCAGGTGCGGACATTGGCACGAGTGTGGATCCGAGGCACAGTAAATTTGTAAAAGGTAGGATATGGGAACACATATTGAAACTAATAATTTATATGAGATCAATGTTATTTTTTCATTCACATGTCATAAGAACTTAATCCTTATAACATTTCTATGTTTCCTTTATTGAGTAGATAATCATACTCCCTTTAAAAGCACGAGTTCGGAAAATCTTTTTTAGACAAATATACCCCTTTATAGTTTGAACTACTTTATCTATAATCAAATTCTAATTTTCAATGGTCAATATTACCCTTCACTATTTTGAATATTTTATTTATATCTTAATCTATCCTAATCATAATCATATCTTATCATAATCCAATGTGAACCATATTTAGCTTAACAATTTAAAAAAAACTAATATTAATAAAATATATAAAACATAAAAATGATATTAGTTTGTTAAGATAAAGAAATTACAAGTAGATAACATATTATAATACATGAAGTATTGCAAAAAAACCATAAAAAGTTTTAAAATTGCAAAAAAGACCCTAAAAAGTTCAAAATTATAAAAATCATCCCAATGTCTCAAAACTTAAAATAAAAAACATGAAATTAAAAAATTAACATCAGTTTGCAAAGAATTTAAAATTTACAGTTAACACCTCAATGTCTCAAAAATTATAGAAACACCCTCAAAAGTTTAAATTACAGACAAGCACATTAAAATTCTAAAATTTTAAAACTTACAAACAACACAGATGAATTCAAGAGATTACCATGATACACCTAAAATTTTTGACATTTAAATTTAAATTTTTTAATTAACACCCTCAATATCTCAAAAATTATAGAAACACCTTCAAAAGTTCAAATTATAAAAAGCCACCCTAAAATTCTAAAATTTGTAAATAAAATAAGATGAATTCAAGATATTACCCTTAGACACCTAAAAAATTAAAATTTGCCAAAATTAACCTCAAAATTTTTAAAAAACTCCTTCAAAATTTAAAAATCGTAAAAAAAACTCTAAATTTTCAAAATTTTTAACTAGCACACATCAAATTCGTCGATTGGTAGACCGCTGAAATTTAATATTTTTCAAAATTAATCTATAGTTTTAATAATTGCAAAAGACACCCTCAAAATTTTAGAGTTACAAGAAATATACTAACATTTAAAAAATTACCACCAACACATGAAACATAGAATTTACAACTACCAAACTTAAAAGTAAATTTTTTTAAAAACTCTTTCAAAATTTTAAAAATTATAAATCACACCCTCAAAGTTCAAAACCACAAAAATGGGCTAAAATTTTAAAACTTGGCAAAGAAAAGTGTAATTGTTTGGTATTTTTCATATATATATATATTAAAATTTCTAATTTAGGGATTTACTATCCATTTTCAGCATCTAAGAATAGTCTAAGTTGATACTGGTAAACAAAAACAATAAGAATTGATTAAAAACATCCGGTTAATGGATAAAATTTTTAAAAATATTATAGATTAAAAATTATCGGCACTATATATATATATATATATATATATATATTAAAATTTGTAATTTAGGGATTTACTATCCATTTTCAGTGTCTAAGAATAGTCTAAGTTGATACTGGTAAACAAAAACAATAAGAATTGATTAAAAACATGCGGTTAATGGATAAAATTTTTAAAAATATTATAGATTAAAAATTATTGGCACTATATAAATTAAATTAATTTTATATAATTTTAGTAATAAGTTGGGGTAGCCAAAATACATTCGTAACATTAATTGATAGATGTTTAAATCCATAGAAATGATAAAACACTATAATATTATACCTTAGCATTAATTGGTTTTAATTTAGAAACTTTAATCTTTGACGTTAATAATATTTATAGGGTAAAAGAATACAAGGAATTACATATGGAGAAACTATTAGAATATTTAGGGATAACTTTAAAAGAATTGAGTTATTTCCATTGCAAATGGGAAAGTGATGGAAATAAATCTAAAATTCAGAAAACGTCAATGAATCACTTGAATTGACATTAATATAAGACATATCTATTAATGAAGCATTGAATGAGTTACATTAAAAAATAATTTAATAACTTTATTCTAATCAAAGAAAAATCTCCATGGAAGACATAAGAAAAATTAGTAAGTATTCATAAATTCCATATTGTGTTCTTCAAATTAAATATTAATATTATAATCTAAGAAAAATTGGTAATGAATAATACATGTATTTAGTTTAGATCTTTATGGAAAATGACAGGGATAGAGCAAATGTAATATTATTGAAATAACAGAAATTCTTATTGGATGCACATCAGAAGAATTCATTTTAGAGGAAAATAAAGAGATAGCTTCTAATTTATTTAAGTAATAAATTAGGAACACAAAGAATTTTATATATATGAAATTAATATTTATTCTCATTGAAATAGAAAAAAAATCAAAGTCTATATTTTGAGCAGTTTGTGTTGAACATCATAAGTACATTTGACTTCTTTGTAAAGTTAAATGAGATGATAAAAAATTAACGAGCCCAGGAAAGATAATAACATAAAAAATACAAAATTAGCCTGATGTCATAATTGATGTAGATGATGAAGAAAATACTCTAGAATTACTCGAGAAATGATAAATGATAAACCTGAAGAAGGATTGATCTTAACTCAATAAAAAATAAAATAGAAGAAATAAAAAATAATATTTTCTGAATATTTTATAGAATAGTTTAATTATTTTGAGTGAAATTAGGAATCTTTAGAAGGGAGTTTCATAAAAAAAATTTAGTACTTTTATATTCTTATGTGGATGTTTTTATCATATAAAAATATACTAGAGTTAGCATTAATCTTTAATTTATATTTTTTATGAAGTCTATCAATGATTATGAATAAACTTCATATTCCCTTTTGCATCGTTTTAACATACTTTAAATCAATCATTTTGCCATATTGGTTTTAAATATTCACCTTATTTGTATAACACTATTTTAATATTTTTCACTTTGCAATGATATACTTTCTCAAATAAAGCTTAGTTTCATATCGGTCAAAAATAATATGAAAATTCTCACTTTGCAATGATATACTTTCTCAAATAAAGCTTAGTTTCATATCGGTCAAAAATAATATGAAAATTTAAATTATTTTTAAATTATATTTGTTTTTTGTCAATTCAAATATCAACATGAAAATTTAAATTGGGTGTATCCCATTTAAACAAACAAAAAAATAATAATTGGGATGTAAGAGTTTAAAGAAAAAAATAAGCACAAACTGCCAAAAATACTTAATCATGGTATTAAATCACGTGCATTGCACGTGTGTAAAAACTAGTAAATTAAAAAAGCACTTGTTGTCAAACTACATACCCAAACAACCCTTTTAAATCATACCTATGAACTAGGTAAGGGTGAAATGAACCCGACCCGAGTCCAACGAGTTGCATAACTTACAGGTGAAGTGTAAGAGATATGTCTAAAAAGTGTATCACATGTGTTATAAACTAGAACATGTATTACATAATTGATTATTGAGTACATGACTGAATAAATTATATGTACATATTCAAGAAGTGTATCACATGTGTTATAAACTAAAACATGTATTACATAATTGATTATTGAGTACACGTCTGAATAAATGTAAGTACATATTCAAGAAATGTCAGAACAGTCACAGATATGAAAAGTGTCAGACATGGATACAAGAGCCCAAATGAAGTGTCCGGATAACTTAGGTTGCATGGAACTCGGTCCATTCCAACTCATGAGAAGGGAACATTATTTCCCAAGGAATGACAGAGACTGGGGATTGCATCGTATGACTTGGGTCAATCAAACAGAATATAATTTCCTGTACCTAGATCAGTATGCATTTCTTGTAGATAGGCCAGTCCCAGTATGCAATATAACTAGCTTAAAATTAAAAGCTCTTAAAATCCATCAAACTACAAAACATAGTCATTTTATACAATTTATACCACAATTATCAATGCAGAAGATACAGGCCCTTGGACATAATAATTAGCTAACAAATTTGACCTTCTTTCGAGTCATTTTTAATTCTAGAAATAAGGACCTGACAGACTTTAAGCGGTGACTTCTTTAGGATGGAATTAAAGAGAAATCCCTATTACCAAATTAAATGTAAAAGGTTTTACAGAGGAACACATCCTCTCCTAAGAGCCACATCTTCATCCCAGTAGTGAGAGCTCCAGCTAGTGTTCCGACTGCATCATTCACCTGACCAGAAGAAGAAGGAAGTAAGATATCAGTTGAGCATGCTATTAGTAAACATACCAAGGCTGATACCCGCATATCTAAACCCTGTCTTTTCATTGCTTCTTTTAAACATTCAACGACGTCCTTTCCCGCCTGTTCAACAGCAGTTACTGGTCAGCTTTAATAATTGAATGCAATGGGAGTAAATTCTAAATAGGAAAAAATCAGGCATGGACTATCCACTTTCAAGCGTTAGTTATAAATGACATGATGAATAACAGAGTTCTTTTTAGCGAGACTGGCTAGAAAACCCCTCTCAGATATAGTTAATAACATTAATCTTCAATCTGGCACCAGTTGATGAAGTAGTAGGAGTGCAAAATGTCCAATAGAAGCTATAGAAAAGTTATACAAATGATCTCAAGCTGTGGAGAGCTCAACATTCAATTTTAAATTATAATAATTTAGGACTGAAGTTGAGGATGATCTAAATTCCAAAAAAAGACGGTCTAAGAATCTGTGTGCAAAACTTGTATCTCCAGTTTTGTACAGCATAAGGCTGCAGAAGATATATATATAGAAATATGCTTCAAAATTCAATCGCACTAAGACACTTTCTCTAACGGTATTATAGTTATTTCTGAACCAATCAACCATTCAACACATCAGGCATGGTTCGGCAATGATCAATTAATCATTCTTGCTCCAAAGTTTTAACAACAAGAAAACGAGATAATGATCAATTTATTATTCTTGGTCCAATGTTTTAACAATAAGAAAACTTTATCTTGTTTTCTCATATTTTTAACCAGAAGATTATAGCTTTGAGGGGCCTTAAGCAGGAAAGTCTCTTTCTCATTTCAAATTCTAGGAATCCACTAATGTTTTAGCAGGTCAGAAGTAGAGTTGTTTTACCTTCTATATACCATAATAATCATCTCTATTATCATTTTTTAAGATCCACAGTTGACAGAAAGGCACATGAGTTGGAACCATCTTCTTTAGACAGAGGTAAAATATGGAAGTATATTATAACATTATTTTGTTTTTATACGCAGGACATTTTAGTGATATTTACATGCACATCTCTGATACATTTCAATGGAGAATTTTGATATCAGATCTTGTCGCTGAGGTTCAATATCAGAGCATTATGCATAAAGAATCAGAAAATGAAGCTAAATGACGTGCAGATTAGAAATAAACAGAGTTCTAACTAATGAAATATCATCCTATGGTGAAATCACAATAATACTCAGAAAAACTGTAATGCCAAAGTATACCCAAACTCAGAGGAAAGAGAAATTCTAACAAACAACATATTTTTAATTAGTCTGATAAGTAATAAGGGTGCAAAAACATGTTCTTATTGTCCCCAGTTGTAGATTTGTAGTTTAGAGCAGAATAAAGGGAAACTCACTTCCTCAAAAAAATAAATAAAAGAAACTCACTGTTCCAGAGACAGCAAAACCCTTTGTCCACTTGATCAAAATGCCTGAGTCAATTGAAGTCTGCCTCACAGGAAAAGAAAATGTAAAACCAATCTCTCCTTTCCTCCCCTGAGGCCAGCGAAACCTCGCACTCTCCTTCGCTGCAAACCTTGCTAACTCAGAAGCAATAAAATCAAACAACTCCTGCGTTCAGATGTGCACAATTACAAACAAATGATACCACAGGATCTTGCATGCGTAGGAGGGAACATTCAGTATGATGATGAAATAAAAAAGCCAACCTCCGTAGTACTATGCATAAGCTCCTGAGGAATTGCAACTTGCTCGAATTCAGTATCGACCACTCGGCTCTCCTTGCCTCCCAATTGCACCCTCAGCACCCGGAAATTTGTTCCACCAAGATCCAACGCGTAAAACAGACCCTTTTCATCAATACGGAAAATAACTTCATCACTCAAAGAAACTACACGACCGAATATGCAAGAAGTCCTAAAAGTTCCCAGTCCGATATGCCGCTAGTTTCTGCACTAGATAATGAAGTCCTATCCTTGTTGACGTTGCACTAGAGATTTTTACAATTCATTCTTATTACTCAAGCAACCATATTTGATAAAACCTCCATTAAACCAAATTCTTCAAAAAAATTTAAATGTCTTACTAAAAAGATTTCAGCTTTTCTACTTAACCTACCACATAATTCCCAAGTCCTGCTTTTGATCATATTATCGACAACTTTACTGTAAATCAAGAAAGAATGCTCAAGCAAGCTATACATACACTGAACACTATATTAAAGTTCGATAATCTAAACAAAATTCAACGAGAAGAAGAAACAAATCTCACCCAGTGGGAAGAGAATCGACGTAACTCAGGATCATCTTGAGATCACTCCCGCCATCAGCGACCAGCCCCGCCCTCATATCCGCCTACATCACGTCCGCCACTTGGCGCGGCACCGGCACGTGGATAGAATCAAAATCAAATTTAGCATAAAAATCAAAATCAGAAACAGGAAACTCTCCTATGAAGAGATTTTAACAGGCCTACGCCTTTTTATCTGATCAACGAATATAGCAATAATTCAGACAATGCAGATGGATAGAATCAAATCGAATTTATCATAAACCCATAAATCACATACTAATCACCACCTCCAACGGCGACGGCCTAATAACAAATCGGACCAATACATCCAGCAACCAACATCAAGCAATACAGACATACAAATGGAATTCAATCTCAAGAACGATCGCCTATTCTCGATCGATAACCTCCTCGTCCTTCTGATCCTTCCCCTTCTGACCCTCCCCCTTCTTCTCACCGCTCTCCATCTCCTCCAGCTCCTTGAGCCACAAGTCCGCAAACTCGCAGTCCCTGTACCTGTCGAACCACGGCCCGCCCATCGTGTAATGGATGGCCTTCGGGTAGCCCTCCTCGACCCTGTTGTGGCCGACGAGGAAGTTCCAGACGGAGGGGACCTCGCCAATGTCGCCATCGTCGAGCCACATGAACCTGTGGAGGAACGCGCCGCTCTCCCTGCTGACGAGCTCGGGCGTGAGGACCCGGTTCTTGGGGTGGGCGCAGTTGTAGAGGACCATGGAGGACCAGTTCTTGCGGGGGTAGACGGTCTGGACGGCGCCGTCCATCTTGGTGGCCGCTTGAGGAGGGAGTGGACGCAGACCTCGTACGCCGCCGCCTCTCGGGGGTCGTACCCGATGAAGATCTTGAACGGCGAAGGGGGAGGAGAGGATCCCATTTTGGAGGAGATTGGGCGTCGTTCAGATCTGGATTCGATTCGATGCGGTGGCGGTGAGGAGGGGAAGAAGTCCTGGGGAGGGGGATTAATTATAAAGAGGCGGAGGAGAACGCGGGGTCGCGTGGGGCCCAGGATTTAAGAGGGGGGCTTGGATACTTGGGTGGCTAGATCCTCGCCGTTGGTTTTTGAGGGAGTGGAGGAGGAACCGGGGTTGGCTGGCCACCGACAGTTTTTGGGTGCCAACGATAGACAGTTGCAAATTCTACTGGGCAGTTGTGTGAATATGCGATTTTGTCGTGTTAAACATGTTTGGCGAAAAAAAGATATTTGTGGAAGCAAACGACACGACGGCGAGAGAGAATAGACGGCAAGGGAGCAGAGGGGAGGATTGGGCGTTAAATCGGCTTGATGGCTCAATAATTGGACGCAAGTTATGGGCCTTTTCTATCTTTGGGTTCAATAATTGGACCTAAATTAAATCTGCCTCGTGGCTCAATAATTTGACCTAAATTATGTGGGAAAGTTTTATTTTCCTCTATTTATATGATAGATAGATATATTAGATATTTTATACCCACGAGCTAGAGCGTGAAAATAAGAATAATAAGCTAAGTTTCAAATTAGATTCGACTTTGAGACATACTATTATGTGACATTTAATTGAAAGTTACGTGAGACATGCAGTGCATATCTAAAATGGCCTCAGAAGATCTACAGATGGGTCATGCATGCTCGTCGTATAGAAAAAAAAATAAATAAATCAAGGGAGCTTGGTTGTTGTTGTTCTCACTTCGGATTGGTTCTTCACAGTCACCAGGTTTTAACCTACGTTGGGTCCCAAAAGAAGAGCGCATTTTAGTTTCTCCAACTCAACTGAACAATTTCCAACAACAGATCGATGAGAAATTGTTTTGACCTTTTGTAAGTATTATATGTTTAAGAGAATGAAAATTAAGTTAGTATTTGAATGGTCAAAAAAATAACCATGTTCAAGAAGACCTTGCAACCTAACTTATTTGTTTGCAGATCCACAGCCAAGACGAAATGACCTTTCATGAGTGTTGAACCACAAGCAAAACACGTAGGTGTGTCCATCCGGGCCGGCCCGGCCCGGAAATCCGGGCCCGGGCCGGACAAAATCGGAGCCCGGACCCGGACCCGGGTACCCTGGGCCGGGTCCGGGCCCGGGCCTGGGCTCGACTGGGCCGGGTTCTGGACTGGTCCGGTTTATTTATTTTTTAATTCTATTTAAAATTTAAATTATAAAAAAACAAAAAAATTTAATAAAAAACAATAATTTTATTAATCACTTAAAATGACATAAATTACAAATAAAAAAATATAAAAATAAATTCTTTATTAATAATTAATAAATTATTTACAAATTACAAGTATAAAGTTATTTTGGAATTCATCGCATCAACAATAAGCCTTTACAGTCGTGCAACTAAGGTTTTTAAATTTTTTTTTCTTTTGATCTGTTGATAAAAGTAAAGCTATAAAATTAGGTTTAACATGTATTATATTCTTATATAGATTATGTATTAGTATATAGCTTACAAATTATTATGTAATGTATATTGATTAATATATAACATACTATTATACTTTGTACAAATTATTTGGAATATTATGAAGTTTAAAGGTTAGACTAAACTTGGAGGGAACTCACATAAGTGCAGCCGTTTGCGTTGGAGACAATAGGGGGGGGGAAAAAATAGCGTTCTAATAACTATAGTCTGCAATTGTATATTATAACTAAACGAGAGAGACGTCACACGACACACATTTATACCATATATCAGCGGAGCTGGAGATAGAGGCCTTTATTCAGCTCTATTATAAGTTATGAGGTGGAGTATAACATATATAGCAGAAATGGAGTATAAATATAGATCAATGAAGCAATACGATAAGCTCAATAGAAAGAGAGAGAGAGAGTATAACTAGCAATATCACACATAGTACTACATAATACAACATATAATTGTAAGAGAGTGTGATATTTATAAATCTTCAATACATTATAATAAAGAGAAGAGTATGAACCATAATATAGAGAAGAGTATACATATATTAGAGAGAGAGTTATATATTAAAATAACATACATTATACATATATCAAAGATTGGCACTCCAGACGCAGTATGTCTTATATATACTAGTATAGTTAAAAGGAAGCTATACTTATCGCATATCTGCGCTGGACATAGCTATAATATTTTTGTATATAGTTAATTGAGAGTATACCTATAATAATTAAAACTATCCGTTATATACGCTAAGAGAGAAGTATCATAACCTGACAGACATATGAAATGTTAAGACACATAGTATTTGAAATAAAATATAAATTATTACATATGCTTATATATATGAAACATATATTAGGCATTACATAGATAATAAAAAATATTATAATATAAACATTGTGAGCTATTTTTATACTTCATACATATTTTTATTATATAGCCAGTCAAGATATATAATATACAGCATATATTATAGCAGCGAATAACATAGCCCTATATATATAAACAGTATAAAAGTATATAAAAATTTTAAAAAACATACTATTCCAGACCGGGCGCTCGGGTCGGCGCACGCAAAGAGGCGGCCCGGCCCGGCCCGGAGCCCAGACTTGGCCTAGGTTTCCGGGCCGGGTCGGGCTGGCGGGCTTTTTGGACACCCTAAAAACACGCACCAAGGAACACAAAAGTGTGCGCTGCATAATAAATCACAAGCCGAATGTTCCGCAGCTTTATTTCCAGTACAACGTCTAAATTTCTCAACTCAACTTATAATTTATTTTTCACCATGGATATATGTTAGGATACACACTAACAATAACATCTCAAACGGAAACGTAATACACAGAATAAAGGCACAATATTAAACACGGTACTCACAAATATACGTGGTTCACTCCTTCGGAGCTACTCCATGGTGCTTCTTTTATATCCCAAAGGAATAGATCAAAGAGAACACACTCTCTTGATCAGATATACTCCAAAAACTCTCACAAACTCTCTCTGTGTTTTCTCTCTTACTCTTATATAAGAGGAGTTGTTTCTGGGATGAGATTTCCTTAAGAGTTTAGGGCCCTATTTATAGTGTTTGGAAAAATACTATGCACTAATAAAATATTATTGGTAGGACCCGCCACTAATAATATTTTACTGTGGGACCCATCATCTTTTTCCTTCTTCAAATCTTTCGGCCATCGAAACCTTGATTGTCAAAAAAGGTAGCAGGGGGTGGATGGCTGGGTCAAAAGAGGCGGCTGGCTAACAATCTCCCACTTGAAGATTTAATTGAGTATCAATCATATCTTCACACCACTCTTGGTTGCATCATCCGGATATCTTATATCTTTGGCGTCTTGCACGACCCTCAACATTCTTAACGGAGGCCATATGAGGTTGCACACAGCCTCACCTTCTCGAGCGAAACTGGCTTGGTCAGCATATCGGCTGGATTGTACCTCGTATCAATCTTCACAAGCTTGAACTCGTTCCTGCTTTGCTATCTCCGTATGGCATGGTACTTCACATCAACATGCTTGGTTCGAGCATGGAATGCATCGTTCTCTGACAAGTGAATGGCACTCTGACTGTCGCAGTGGATGAAGTATTTCTCAAAGCTTACTCCAAGCTCGAGAAAAAAAGCCTTCAACCATAGCAACTCCTTTGCTGCCTCTGCAGCAGATACGTACTCAGCTTCGGTTGTTGACAAAACTATAGTATCCTATTGTAGGCGTCAAAAAATGCTGAAAGATATCCAAACACAGCTCAAAAGGAAGTCATCCAAAATATCAAAAAGAACACAAGTATAGACTGTCTCGCATGCGAGACAGTCTTTACTGTCTCGCACGCGAGATAGACTTGACTGTCTCGCATCTCGCACGCGAGATAGACTTGACTATCTCGCCATGCGAGACAGACTTTTACTGTCTCGCTCACGCGAGACAGTCTTTACTGTCTCACCGTGCGAGACAGAATTTACTGTCTCGCACGTGAGACAGCTCTCAGAGGCCCAAAACTACTTTGCATAACCGCCAACACGTGGTCATTAACTGTTCAAGAACGTGGGAAACGTTGTGGGCGAGAATCACGTTGATAACTGCCAAAATAACGGAGTTTGAAACGTGGGAAGGCAGTTACAACGAAAACTGTCAGGAATATTCCTTTTCCGAGACAGTGTTTACTGTCTCGTGGGCCGAGACAGCAAACACTGTCTCACCCGCCGAGACAGCAAACACTGTCTCGGCAGCCAAGACAGCAAATACTGTCTCGCGAGCTTGATTTCCGCCAACTGTTCCTAGGGGTTATAAATACCCCCCGAATGCCATTTTTGAGGGGGGCTGATCATTTTGAGCACTGTTGAGCAGAGAGAGCAGAGTTCCTGAGCTTCCGGCAATTCCTTGAGATTCGAGCTTTGACTTGATCTTAAGAAGAACGACTATCTTACTTTGATAAGATATCGTTTCAAATTCTCACTTCGATAAACGAAGGAAGAATCATTAAGCCCCTCACGATTCAATCAGAATCTGTGATTTGGTGGTCCACGAGTCAAAGCGCTCCCGGCACAGGCAAAGATCCCACGCAAGCAGCGATCCTGCGTTTGTTTCTAAAAAGTTATAATTTTCTTTTTGTTGTGTAAAAGGAGTCTTATAAAAAGACTATCTCTTTTGAATTTGTTGTAATCGACCGAAGATATAATGAATTCCATGACAAAACCAACTTTTGACGAAAGCAAACTGGCGACCACAGTGGGAGCCAACGGTCTCGCTACCGAGACCGTCGTGTCACAGCCGATCAAGATACCGGTTGAATCCATGGTCGAGTATGAATTCGACCAAACCAAGTTTGAGGAATATATCTCATTGTCCTCTTCAAGATCTTCATTATCATGTAAGTACAAGAGGATCTCATCATTGAAGAAGACCTATACGTCAGAGAAGGCTAAAAGTGAAGCCTCTCATCCAATGGTTGTTGAGGTCATGCCTCGCAACATTATTCT